GCAGGTTCAGCATGTTGGGGATAAAGTTAAATTTTTACTTTTACGGATCCAAAATGCACTAGTAAAAATTATTAAATGTGGAAGTAAAAGATAAGATCTATAGTCTCTGTCAGCTTCTGTTGTTGATTGCGAACCCTTATGTTTTTGTCTTATTCAACACTTTGCAGGTTCAGCAAGTTGAGGATAAAATTAAAATTTTACTTCTACAGATCCAAAATGGAGAGGTATTTAGTATTTTCAATAGTTTTAGATTGGTATTTCGTGCATTTAATAGTTTTTGGATTTTCTGTTCCTCCTCCCTTGGTGAATTAGTTGCTTCCATTTTCATTTGCCATTTACCTATCCAAATAGTGCTTTAAGCTGCAAGAACAGGATTTGTTCTAGCCTATCTTAGTAAAATTACATTGGTTTGAACTATTAGTTCTTGTGTAAGTTGACAACATACTGCCAAATGATTAACAATGTACTGTATAGTCATGGTGTTAATATTCAACATTTTGTTGCCTTTAATTACTAGATTTTTCATTTAAAAACTTGAAACAAAAGAAGAAAGAAGTAGCTTGCTATCTTAGGGTGAATTGTTTTTACTTGTGTTAGCATTCAGCTTTTCTTTAACAAATCACGTTGATTATGTAGCCAAATTGTGGATCTGTTAACTACAAGTGGGTGATGCAATTCAACATTGTTCTAAACAAGTTATCACAAGGTAGCATGTCAATTTAAGTGGGTTTATTTAGGACTGAGCTTTTTTCTTTTCTGGACATGACCCCTTAGTCTAATTAAACCATTGAATTAGGTTTATTGCTGTCTAAGTAAGGTTGCTCTATAACAAATTATGATGTATCAGAAAATAAATACTATTTGTTGACTACTATAATTTGGACTTCACTGCCGATTAGGTACTAATCTTTTATGCTGCAAATGGTATTGTAATTGCAGGCAGTAAGTTCGGAGGATATTGACGCTCTTAAAAGAAGAAAGCTTATTACTCAACAGTAATGTCTTAAGCAATTCATATTCATTTATTTATTTACGTTGGAGATATTAAGTTGCTTATTCTGTGTGACGCACCTTTAGGATGTATATTACCTTTTTTTGAGATGTTTTACTTTTTTTTTTTATAGAATATGGAAAGGTTACTCAGTCAGAAAGGGTCCCAAATATGCTCCGAAAAGGAAAAAAGCTGCCACTGATCTTACACGAGAGAATATACAGAGGTAATTAAATGCTTATCTGTTTTTTGTCAAAATGACTGCTGTGAGTCATCGTTAAGAATGCAAAGATTTCTCTTCATGCTAGTTGAGATGGATGACTGTGTAAATTTTTGGTAATACTTCATGCTGTTTCTCATTTGTGAGCTATACAATAAAATGGCTTTTTTTGTGAATTTACTTTTATCAACTTGTGTGCGTATTGGCTGGAATGTCTTAAATGTTCCTACTTAAGTAAATTTGATAGCTTTCAATTGCTCACATGTGCTTCAGAGAGCAAATAATTTTCATACTTGTAGATGAGTATCTAATTTGGTTTGGTGTCTTACTATAGAATGAAAATGAGTTTGGATTGTTGATTTGCTGGATGGGAACCTGAATTTGCCTACATATGTGTACTTTAGTAGGCTTTTCTTGCTATGATATGCTTTTGAAGGAAACTGTATGCAGACTTTCAATTTTTACATTTGCAAAATAAATAACTAGGAAATTGAGCAATTTGGGCTTGGCTGGTATAAAATTGTACCATATACTTATTGAGAATGTCTTTAATGTCAACTACCTTTGATAGCTAATTGTACAAAATTTTGGTTTTTGTTTGCACAATATGTCCGTTATCACAGAGATATGTGTCTCTGTGATATCTTCAATCCATGAGCAAGGATGTGTATTGTCATATCGTTTTATTGCTTTATCATGATTGGGAGGTTAAGGATACATGAATTAGTTTATCAACATGAGATATTATCGGGATTAGCATGCTTTTATGGCTGGTGGGTTCTCATATTCTTATTTTGTCCTTGAAGGGGCGACTGGAAGGAATTGGAGTTTAAAGAGTACAACTTCAGTGCTAAAGGTCAACCACTTGAAGGTGGTCATCTACATCCGTTGCTCAAGGCAGGAATCCCTTGTTTCTGTCTGTCTCGCTAGCTTTTCATTATTTTGCTTGCCGGTTTTTCTCTTTCGCTTATGTTCATTAGTTTCCCTGAAGTTGAAGCATGAGGAGTTATGCATTGCAAACTAAAGTTGGTTCTGGTTTTGGTTTTGCTTATCCTAGAAAAGTTGGCTGGGCCTTTGAAGTTGAGGTGATTGAATAGCTTGTTTAGACCCTTTATTCATACCGTTTATGAAGTCTCTGCCTTTTACTAGGATGCAGAAAAAATTCTTCTCCTTGTGAGCATATTTCTAAGTGAAGAATTTACTGAATATTAGGCACAGAGATACTCGTGAGGTGTACCTTACTAAAATGCATGAGACATTCCTTGCCACTGAGTAACTACTTGTGTAATTTCTGGTTGTTTCTTTGACGACTGAGTTTATGTTTCATTACTCAAGGATCCCTGTGGTCTCTTATTATAGGATAACCTACTGTATGCTGGTGTTGCAGTTGGGCTGAATATTAATTTCATAAATGACTAACTCTGACGTTAGGCACAAAACTAGCACTTGCAGTGATTAGCCATCAATAATCAACTTCAACAGTCATTTATAAGGTAGCATTGTTCTGTGCGCTTACTAATCGGCTGTTGTTTTTACATTTGCTATAGGTACGGCGTCAAGTACAGATGATTTTTCTTCAGATGGGGTATGACCTGGTCATTTTGTTGATGTTGCATTCGTGCTATATATTTGCCTTCATCAGAAGAGTTTTTTTATGGCCTGCACCTTCGTTATTGCTTTGCTTTGTGCAGATTTGAGGAGATGCCAACAAATAATTTTGTGGAAAGCAGGTAGATTATCAAATGCATGCTTACTCCTCAGCTAAAGAAAGCCTTCTCAAGGTTTTGACAAAATTTTTAGTTTAGTAGCTAGAGGAAAGTGATGAAAATAAAGAATGTTTGAGACACTAAAACCTGCAGCTGCTATTTTCACATTTAAACTGTGATTCACCCCTCCTTATTATGAGGCATATGAAGCCATTTCTACTGAAGAGCTTCTCTTATATTGCTCAATGAATTTAAATGAATACAAGTAAATTTACTATAGCTCTCCGAGGCCCATTGTTCTCAATTATGAAGTGTGAGGTGATTGGGGAGTTTCTTCTCAGCTTTTGGGTTAGCAGTGGGTGGTAGACACACTTCTCATGAGTTGTCACCAGGAGTGTAGCAAGTAAATGTTGAAGACTGGTTTTGAAAATGGAACAGGGAGATGATTCCTTTTGTAATTATTATGGCCTTTAATTATGAGGAGATTTGTCGGTAAATAGATACTTCCTTTAATATGCAATTGGGTGTCAGCAAAGCTGGAGATTGCTCTGCTTAATAAAAAATGGTGCCACAGTTTTTCTTCTTTCTATATTAACTGATGGAGGAGCTTTTCAAGTAATAGAAATAATAGTAGTTTTGTTATTGAATCTTAGTTGACAAAAATTCTTTCCAATGTTGCAGCTTTTGGAATTTTGATGCGCTTTTCCAGCCACAGCAACATCCTGCGCGTGATTCACATGATACATTCTTCTTGAAAGGTTGGTTTGGTTTTAATCTTAGGATGTTTATCGTCCGTTCTGATTTTCTCTAATAAATGCATGTTCATAAAATTTACAGAACCTTCTACTACAAAGACACTGCCTGAAGATTATGTGGACCGGGTCAAGGAAGTTCATGAAAATGGTGGTTATGGGTCTCGAGGGTATGCTAGTAAAAGTTACTTGTAATACCATTCTATATTCAGCACTGAATGCATCTAAGTAGAGCTGTCTTTGTAGGTATGGATATGAGTGGAAAAGGGAGGAAGCAAATAAGAATCTTCTCAGGACTCATACAACTGCTGTTTCTTCGCGGATGCTGTACTTGCTTGCACAGGTTTTATTTTTTTTTCCCATCTTGAAAGTTCCCAGCTCCTTTTTATCTATTTCCAAAAATGTTGTATATGCTCATGTAAGTTTGTATGTGAAGGTCTGTGCTTTAGGGGTTGTTTAATAAATGGGTATGAGGTGTAGGAACCGGTTTCGGAGTTATACATGTTATCGACTGCTATAGGAATCATTCAATTAGAATGAATGTTTTAGACCTTACCACCTATTGTTCCCCACTCAAAACTTGGGTTTAAAATTAATGAGCTCTTTAACAGAATGATACCCATTCGACTTGCAAACCAAACCCCATACTCAGTAGTGGGGTCTATGATTCCAATTCCGATTTCAATACCAAAATTTGACCCAATAACCTCCATAGTTATCTCCAGTGTAATAATGAGTGCAGATTGAGATATGCTTAGAGTTGGTTGTGAGTTTGTTTAGTGCGAAGTGATTCTTTTCTTGGAAATACTTGTGTAATTAGTGCATTATAAAATCTCTGCCTCTCTTTCTCTCTCTCTTCCCCCCCCCTCTGTGTGTGTGTGTGTATTTGTCTGTGTTTGGATAGAGCAGGTGTGAGAGTGGGTTGACTTGCCTGCATATTTTATGATTGTTTTGTCTGTAATGGCTTCTGCATTTTTCATATAGTGGACAGCCAGTGTAATATCATCTAAGGAACTATGATTGTATGCAGAAACCTTTCGCTCCCAAGAAGTACTATTCAATAGATCGTGTTTTTCGAAATGAAGCTGTTGATAGGACTCATCTTGCTGAGTTTCACCAAATAGAAGGTATTCATGTTTCTTAATAGCACGTGGATCTTAGGTTTCTTTACTTCCTCAGGTGCAATTTTCCTTGTGTCATGACTCTGTGAAGGTAATTTTTTGCCCCCTAAAGGCTAATAGTTTACAATCTAATAATAGGTAAGTCTTGTGCAAATCCCAAGCAAGGAGGAATTGAGGCAGAAGAATCTTTTTAGTGTTAGTGACTGCAAAATGTATTGGCAAAGCAATGGTGACTACCTGGCTGTGAAAGTTGATCGGTACACAAAAACAAAGAAGAGTACGTATACTGGGTTTGAGCTTTTCAGAATTAAAGAGAGAGATATTCCCATTGAAGTATTGGAACTTGAGAATAAGAATGATAAGATTATTGCATTTGCTTGGGAGCCAAAGGGCCATAGATTTGCAGTTATTCATGGCGATAACCCTAGGCCTGACATAAGTTTCTACTCAATGCGGACTGCTCATAATACTGGTCGGGTTTCAAAACTCACAACTATCAAGGGCAAGCAGGCAAATGCACTTTACTGGTCACCAGCTGGTCGGTTCATTGTGCTGGCTGAAGTAGATTATATATAAAGTCTTTTCAATCAAATGTGCTTAATTTTTCACATTTACTACATATAGCGATGATGGAAATCAGCGCACATTGATTTACTAATAAATTCAGGCCAGTTTTTATAAGATTATAAAATTTGACAGGATTGTAAAGTTTTTTAATAAGAACGTACGAGTTTCATGATTTTATAAAAACAAAACATATTACTATATCAATAAGTTTGTAATAAGGATTTTTTTTAATATTTTCTTTCTCAATTTTTTTTTTTTAAAATGTAGTATAATTTAACTATTTCCCGTTCAAATAAAACTTTACGTGCTTTTCAGAGGTAGAGTGAAATTAAGTGAGATCTTGGGGAGCGTTGTGTAAATTATCCTATTTTGGCGGGTTGCTGAATGTAATTCACAGTGAGACGTACCAGCTCAAAGCCCTGAGCAAACCTTTTTGACTACAATATACACTGCACCAACGCTATCCCCACCTGTAGCTTGGAATACCCCTAGCATCCGTCATTTGACGGCTTTTTGGCATTCCGATTCACGGCGCCGCTGACGACGTGGGGTTTTTACAAAGTAAACAAGTACGACAACTAAACCTAAAAGAGGAAGAAAGAAAATATGGCGGAAGAGGCCGTGCTCAGATATCTGGAGAAGAACGAAGAGATATCCGACTCCGGCAAGTTCGCGGAGGATCGAGGTTTGAGCCATGACGACATCCTCAACATTATTAAGAGCCTCAACGGATTCAGACTTGTTGATGCTCAGGTATGAATTCCCATTTTATGTTTATTATCTGTAAAAAAATGCATGCTTGGCGCTTTTTTTTTTTTTTTTTGACGGCGAAGACGCTTATTTTTTAATTAGGTATTTAGGTCATTGGAACTTGAGATGAACGGAATTGATATTTACTCCAATTGATTGAGAATAAAGAAAGATCGAGAGACAGTTCTGTCTGTTGATTGCTCAAATGATGAAGTTTAAGAGAAATGTACCTTATAAAGTCAGTTTAGTTTTGGGAATTTCAATTGAGATATTCAAGCTGGCAAAATACTTTACAAAAGGCAGCTCTAATTTTTTTTTCTTTGGGTTGGCATTTTCTGACTCTTTTAGTTATCGTAGCTTGTCAATTTTCACCTTTTCAGATTCCTTATCTGCTTTTGGCCTAATGTTCCACAAATTTTGTTTTTTCTTCTTGTTAATTTTGAATTACAGGAAATTGTTCTGGTTATATTGTGATTATGATCATTTTAATATGCCAGAGGTAGGTGGATTTAGGCATGTGTATCTGCCATTTTAGTTTTAAGTGCCTGAGTTGCTTGTTAAGCAGTACCTTTTTTAAGCTTGCCAAAAAATTGTCTAATTGAGGTTTATGAACTTAAATCTTAGGGATTTTACTTTAGCTGCATGCCAATTGTGCAGGATATTAAGAAAGAGAGATGGGTGCTCACGGATGAGGGAAAAAAGTATGCTGAAGCTGGATCTCCCGAAGTCCAACTCTTCTTGGCTATACCAGCGGAGGGTATTGCACGGGAAGACTTGCAGGTTGTCAAACATTATTTGATTACATATTTTGGGTGCTTTCTGCATTGGTCTTGCGCTACTGTGCTTGATATTATTCGTATTCTACAGTCCTTTTATGTTTTCTTCCCATGCATGTCTTTCTTTCTCTCTTTTTTTTATACTGATTTTACAATCAAATTCCTGCAAAACCCTATATTTTCTGTTACTTGACCTAGAGCTTATAGGTTTGGAGTTTGATCCTGCTGTATGGAGTGAATTTTGCTTTGGTGCTTTATGTCTTCAAGACATTCGTTTCTTGGTTTGACCCTTATAGGAAACAGTAACTTCAGTTGTCACTCCTATAGTATCGTTGTGAAGCAACTTCAAAGTTCTGGCACCAACAAAAACCAACCAAGCTGCAACTATGACATTCTGATCTGAATTTTGGTCCTTTTTTGGGTCTACTTAACTATGGAAGATATGCTTGTGAAATGGGATATCCGTATGTGCAGAAAAAGCTGGAGTCCTCTATTTTCAAGATCGGTTCCCAGCAGGCCATAAAGAATAAATGGATCGAGATGGGAAAGTCACAAGTTTCCAGAAAGGTAACAATTAGATTGGCATGGAACAATTGTGAATTACATGGCTGTCAATTTATTTTCAACTTTATGCTATATTTCCTGATAACAATATCACCATTGAGTCCAAGAGAAGGGCCAGTGTTAATGACCACCCCTATACTTAGGTTCTAATAGGTGTATCTGCATCTAAAAACTATTTGACATTTATTTGAAATTATTAGTTGTGGAAGTAAAAGATAAGGTCTATAGTCTGTATCGGCTTCTATTGTTGATTGTGGATCGTTATGTTTTGTCTTATTCAATGTACTGCAGGTTCAGCATGTTGGGGATAAAGTTAAATTTTTACTTTTACGGATCCAAAATGCACTAGTAAAAATTATTAAATGTGGAAGTAAAAGATAAGATCTATAGTCTCTGTCAGCTTCTGTTGTTGATTGCGAACCCTTATGTTTTTGTCTTATTCAACACTTTGCAGGTTCAGCAAGTTGAGGATAAAATTAAAATTTTACTTCTACAGATCCAAAATGGAGAGGTATTTAGTATTTTCAATAGTTTTAGATTGGTATTTCGTGCATTTAATAGTTTTTGGATTTTCTGTTCCTCCTCCCTTGGTGAATTAGTTGCTTCCATTTTCATTTGCCATTTACCTATCCAAATAGTGCTTTAAGCTGCAAGAACAGGATTTGTTCTAGCCTATCTTAGTAAAATTACATTGGTTTGAACTATTAGTTCTTGTGTAAGTTGACAACATACTGCCAAATGATTAACAATGTACTGTATAGTCATGGTGTTAATATTCAACATTTTGTTGCCTTTAATTACTAGATTTTTCATTTAAAAACTTGAAACAAAAGAAGAAAGAAGTAGCTTGCTATCTTAGGGTGAATTGTTTTTACTTGTGTTAGCATTCAGCTTTTCTTTAACAAATCACGTTGATTATGTAGCCAAATTGTGGATCTGTTAACTACAAGTGGGTGATGCAATTCAACATTGTTCTAAACAAGTTATCACAAGGTAGCATGTCAATTTAAGTGGGTTTATTTAGGACTGAGCTTTTTTCTTTTCTGGACATGACCCCTTAGTCTAATTAAACCATTGAATTAGGTTTATTGCTGTCTAAGTAAGGTTGCTCTATAACAAATTATGATGTATCAGAAAATAAATACTATTTGTTGACTACTATAATTTGGACTTCACTGCCGATTAGGTACTAATCTTTTATGCTGCAAATGGTATTGTAATTGCAGGCAGTAAGTTCGGAGGATATTGACGCTCTTAAAAGAAGAAAGCTTATTACTCAACAGTAATGTCTTAAGCAATTCATATTCATTTATTTATTTACGTTGGAGATATTAAGTTGCTTATTCTGTGTGACGCACCTTTAGGATGTATATTACCTTTTTTTGAGATGTTTTACTTTTTTTTTTTATAGAATATGGAAAGGTTACTCAGTCAGAAAGGGTCCCAAATATGCTCCGAAAAGGAAAAAAGCTGCCACTGATCTTACACGAGAGAATATACAGAGGTAATTAAATGCTTATCTGTTTTTTGTCAAAATGACTGCTGTGAGTCATCGTTAAGAATGCAAAGATTTCTCTTCATGCTAGTTGAGATGGATGACTGTGTAAATTTTTGGTAATACTTCATGCTGTTTCTCATTTGTGAGCTATACAATAAAATGGCTTTTTTTGTGAATTTACTTTTATCAACTTGTGTGCGTATTGGCTGGAATGTCTTAAATGTTCCTACTTAAGTAAATTTGATAGCTTTCAATTGCTCACATGTGCTTCAGAGAGCAAATAATTTTCATACTTGTAGATGAGTATCTAATTTGGTTTGGTGTCTTACTATAGAATGAAAATGAGTTTGGATTGTTGATTTGCTGGATGGGAACCTGAATTTGCCTACATATGTGTACTTTAGTAGGCTTTTCTTGCTATGATATGCTTTTGAAGGAAACTGTATGCAGACTTTCAATTTTTACATTTGCAAAATAAATAACTAGGAAAGTGAGCAATTTGGGCTTGGCTGGTATAAAATTGTACCATATACTTGTTGAGAACCTTTGATAGCTAATTGTACAAAATTTTTGGTTTTTGTTTGCACAATATGTCCGTTATCACAGAGATATGTGTCTCTGTGATATCTTCAATCCATGAGCAAGGATGTGTATTGTCATATCGTTTTATTGCTTTATCATGATTGGGAGGTTAAGGATACATGAATTAGTTTATCAACATGAGATATTATCGGGATTAGCATGCTTTTATGGCTGGTGGGTTCTCATATTCTTATTTTATCCTTGAAGGGGCGACTGGAAGGAATTGGAGTTTAAAGAGTACAACTTCAGTGCTAAAGGTCAACCACTTGAAGGTGGTCATCTACATCCGTTGCTCAAGGCAGGAATCCCTTGTTTCTGTCTGTCTCGCTAGCTTTTCATTATTTTGCTTGCCGGTTTTTCTCTTTCGCTTATGTTCATTAGTTTCCCTGAAGTTGAAGCATGAGGAGTTATGCATTGCAAACTAAAGTTGGTTCTGGTTTTGGTTTTGCTTATCCTAGAAAAGTTGGCTGGGCCTTTGAAGTTGAGGTGATTGAATAGCTTGTTTAGACCCTTTATTCATACCGTTTATGAAGTCTCTGCCTTTTACTAGGATGCAGAAAAAATTCTTCTCCTTGTGAGCATATTTCTAAGTGAAGAATTTACTGAATATTAGGCACAGAGATACTCGTGAGGTGTACCTTACTAAAATGCATGAGACATTCCTTGCCACTGAGTAACTACTTGTGTAATTTCTGGTTGTTTCTTTGACGACTGAGTTTATGTTTCATTACTCAAGGATCCCTGTGGTCTCTTATTATAGGATAACCTACTGTATGCTGGTGTTGCAGTTGGGCTGAATATTAATTTCATAAATGACTAACTCTGACGTTAGGCACAAA